GAATGAGATTCTTAAAGAATATTAGCTTCTCTTGAAGGGGTGTTAACAGTTTTTCAAGTCTTGAATCACACGATTCACCCTAGACGACAATATCTGCAAGATTCCCTAGCAAAGATTGGAAGAATTTTATGAAATTATCTTCCAAAAAAAGAATGGGCCAAAGAAGAATACAAATCCAAATGGAAATCCAGTTCTAGATAAGACAAATATATATCTGACAGTTTGCCATACCATTTACGGATTGCTTGCCTCAAAACTTGTTGAAAACCAAATGCTGCTCGGGCTAATCAATCATCTAATCGATGAAGAAGAGAGTAAAACTGCTTCGCCTTTTCATCAATAATCAGTGCAAAATATCTAGCCCCATCACACTGAAATCCAATTTGATACAGAATAAATGTTTTAGCTAGTCTTAGCTCTATCTTCAGATCATTCAAACCACAATCATCTTTGTAGCAATCTAGGATTAAATCAATGTATTTTGATAACGATCCAGATACCCAGACACCAGAATAAGCCAAACGGGCTTGGTCAGCAAAAGCAGTAATCTTCTCTAATGATATGGAAATGTTTGATTTAATCCGATCAGACACTTCATTATCATCTCTGAAAAACCAACAAATGAAGTAGAGATAAGCTGTATATGCAGCCACAACTCCACAGTGCTACTTATATTTGATATTGTTCGGTATTTCTCCTTGTAAGACACTATTCAAGAGCAGTAGCTTCTCGTGAAGGGGCTCCAAGAGTATGGCAAATCTTCGATTACAGGCTTCGCCCCTGAAGAGAATATCATCGAGATTCGTTAGCAAGGAGGAGAAGAAATACAGGAATTCAGAACTACAAGAACAATCCTGATCCACTATGCGACCCAGCACATAAGAATACCATCGAGGCATCCCCCAGTCCAATTTGCTGTCAGGTTGCAAATTGTACATCATGGCATTCAACATCTGCATGTATTTACTTCTGATAACTTGCCTAAATTTGGGCACAACTTCTCGAAAACAAGAGACCTCTCGAGCAGGGGGCAATCGATCCTCAAGTAGAAGAGAGCAAAAACAAAAACGCTGCCCATCTTGATCAATAGAGTCTTCAAGGCCCGAATAAGAATACTGTCCACACAGAAGAAACGTTCTTACAAGTCCTAACTCCACCCTCAGCTTATTCAAGCCATCATAATCCTTGCAGAAATGAACTTCGCCCACCAGCCACTGCAACTTACCTAAACTTAAATCGATGCATCTTACACACTTCTCCATCATCATGCTTTGTGCCGAATCCGATGATCCCTCTTCCACTATTCTCATATCTGTGTCTACCTCTATCGGTATGGTGATCTTTTTCTTGTCTACCTCTCAACATTCACCAAGTCAGATCTGCATAAGGCATCACTGATATTCACAATCTAATAGTAAGGTGGCAGTACAGTAAACGGACCAGAGATTCTTAAATCAGGGTTAAATCATCATCCACCCCCTTTTGAAATGATGTTGCATGCATTTGCAAGAAGTGAAGGTAGAACAGCACAATAGAGATTCTTAAATCCCATTTTACCGCAGGCAGCTGTGTTTTGACGGAGCATAAAGTTGGTGTGGTTAATTGCAACTAATACCGAGTTTAATCCTCTTAGCTAGTTTGCTGGCTGGATTGTTGTACAACAACTTGTTCAAATCTGGGATATGCCAAGCCTGTCAAACAGCCCGGAGTCAAAGTCAGAACCAGCCACATTACGGATCGAAGATACCTTCTTTCCAAGTTCAATGAAAAAAAAGGACATGGGTAAAAAAAACTACAGAAAAGACACTAAAAAGAAACAACAGGTCACAACTTTCTATTAATAACTACCAAAAAACAATAGCAATAAAAACAATGATCTTAATAATAACAGTCTATTCTCTCTATTTGTCAGAACATTTGTAATTCTTCTTTAACTGATAATACTCCAATGGCACATCCTATAGTTTGCAAAAATTGAAACATGCAAACTATTTAATCAGGAAAAGAGCATAATACCTTCTCATTCAAGTTTTTCTAGATTTTGAGGTTGTGAAAAGAAGTCTTTTGTATTATGAGCCACCTCTGCCTCCAAGACTGCTTCCAAAACTATGTCAGATCCCATCACCGTATCTGACATCACTATCAATAATAAGTGTTTTGTGGCATAATTAGTCATAGCAAATTCATCAATAACCTAAAACTATCAGGTTCATATATCAGCAAGGCTATATCACGAGCACTTTCAATGGCCCAACATTTACTTTCAACATGTAAGAGAAACAAATTATAATATTCCAAACTTTATAATCAACAGATGCAGTAGATGGTGGCCTAATGTTGTGGAAGAAAGTAAAAGAGACCAATCGTGCATTACACCAGGCAGTCTCCAACAGCCTGCAAGATTGGAGAGTGCATTTATTCTAGCTGATTTATTGCTCTAGCTCCCAGTCTCTACCAAAGAAACTAACAATTTATTGTAATGGTGACGTCGCCTTGCCAACTGCCTCCAAACTGTCCTAACTAGCAAGGCAGATGCTTCCATCTCTGGTGGGCCTACATCTTCCTCCTAACCATATTAATCCTTGCCTAATGTTCAGGAAGAGTCTTGATTTCCAAGATGAAATGAAGCAACATATTCTAAAATGACATGCTAAAAAAAAAAAAAGCAAATTTCATAGAATGCAATGCCCATACAGTAGCTAAGCTATCTCCTCAGCTTCTACTAGATCATTCAGGCAACACCTGATACAAACTAGTAATACTTGTTCATGTATTAACTTCACCAAGGACATAAAAGTTTAATCTAGTGCCACCAACAAATAAGGCTATACAAATCTAAATTACCTTTTAGAGCATCCTCAAACATAAAGATATTTAACTGCCTATTCCAGATAATTGGTCAGTATTAGAAAATACCCTCTAAATCACCCAAAATGCAAAAAGGAGACTGAAAAAGCTAGATGATAAATAGAAGCACAATTAAAGACCAGTAAGAAGAAAGACAGAAATCAGGAAAACCAAAACTGGAACACACCTCACACCTTTTCGATTTGGTAACAATCTTGCACTTTCAGCTGATACAGGTAGGATGGTAAGACCAGATTTATCTGTTAGCTCATTAAGAACTTCATTATTCACAGAAGCAGGGTTCAATGACTTAGATTCAGCCAACTTTGCATAAGATGTAGCTTGGCTGTGCATGTCAGATGAGGCTGAGGCTCGTGAAGCATAATCCTGGAAAAGATAAAGTTTACCCGCTGCTGATAAAACTCACTGCTAATAGTGTAATGTTATAGGAAATAGATTTTAAGCAACATGATGAACCTTAGCAGCGGGGATTGCTAAAATGCTCTCTTTATCTGCTTATTGCAGCCCAGTTTCATCTAAGCCAACCAAAAAAAATGTTACGGGAAAGCGGGGGCAGATTTAAGAGGGGGGCAGTGGAGGCCCTTAAATTCCTATAATACTTCTATAATTTTGACATAATTTTAAAGATGCTCCCATAATTTTTTTTAGAAAAAATGTGAAAGAACACAAAATTTATATCATTCACTTTCCTCCTCTGGTCCCCATTTTCCCCCCAACAAGGCCAAGTACCAATTATATCAGTCATTCCTTTTGGTCCCCACTCCCCAAGTTCCCTTTACTCCTGTGGTCCCCCATTTCCCTTCACAACCGGCTCCTCTTCTTCCATACCCAAGCCAACTACTCTTTCTTTTTATCACTTCATCCAATTATCATTTACTGCCTTTGTCCCCACTCCCCAATTTTCCTTACCTCATCTGGCTCTCGGTTGTCCCCACTCCCCAACATACGAGAGCCATTTTTTCTTCCACAACCAAAGCTTGTTACTCTTTCTCTTGATCACTTCATCCGATTTAGAGATTGCACCAGAATCAATTGATCTTCTGGGACCTGGGTCTGCTACATTTTGCAGCTCTTTTCACCAACTTTAGGAGACCATCAAAATCAGGTTCTAAACAATTACTTCTTATTATTATTATTTTAAATTTGTTTGCAAATATATTTCTAGAGCATGAGACTATTACTGTTTCAAAGAAATTTAAAAATTGATTAGTTAATGTAATAACTAATAAATGGGTTATTTGATAAATATTTTAACTTGTGAAATGGTGATTTTATGGATTTAAAATTTATTTTTATTTTCCTTGATTAGTTTCTTATATTGGAGTTAATGTAATGATGAATAAAGGGCCATTTGACATATATTTTAACTTTTAAATTATTCTTGTATGGATCCTTTTGTCTAATTAACTTGATTAGGTTCATATGTTGTGATTAATGATTTGATATAATAATGAATAAATAAGTCATTTAATAAATAACTTTAACTTGTAAAATAGTTCTTGGATAGATTTTATTGTACATTTAATATTTTAATTGGATTAGTATCTTATATATTGATTTTAATTTCTTTAGCTATGGAGAGATATTTCAAGAGGAAATCAATGGAAAAAGAGTCATCTAATAAAGAAGAAGTCAAGGATAATGAAAGTGCAAAAAATGACAATAAAAGAAGTTACTTGGGGATTAACTTAGATGAATTACCTGCGAATCCAGCCTAAAGAAAAAAAATTGGGGATTATCATCCAAGCCTTCAAGATGAAATTCGGAGATATTACTTGGCAAAGGGACCATGTCAACCTCATGAGCATGTTTTTCCACAAAGAAAGATAGGAAAAAAGATGCGTCGATTTGTTCGGGGTTGGTTTGATGATTACAAGAATTGGTTAGAATATAGTATTGAAAAAGATGCCGCTTATTGCTTAAGCTGTTATCTATATAGACCAGATATGGGGAACAATCTGGTGGTGATAGTTTCATTAAGGAAAGATTCACAAATTGAAAAAAAAAGGGATAGATTTGATGTTCATGTTGGTGGTCCTAATAGCGCACACAATCTGAGTTGAAGTAAATGCCAAAGTTTATTAAATCAAAATCAGCACATCGAAGTGGCATTTTTTAAGCAATCAGAGAAAATGAAGGCTGAGTATCGGACTCGTTTATTAGCCTCAATAGATTGTGCTAGATTTCTCCTACTCCAAGATTTGGCTTTTCGTGGTCATGATGAATCTAATATCTCTAAAAATCAGAGAAATTTTCTTGAACTTTTGCACTTCTTTGCGGATCATAATGATGATATAAAAAAGGTTGTTCTTGAAAATGCCCCTAAAAATCTCAAACTCATTGCTCCAGATATTCAAAAGGATATTTCAAATGCTTTGGCAAGTGAGACTACAAGCATTATTGTAAATGACATTGGACATGGATTGTTTGCTATTTTATGTGATGAATCTCGTGATGCATCAACAAAGGAGCAATTAGCAGTTGTTATTCGTTACGTGGATTCACATGGATATGTGATTGAGCGTTTTCTTGGCATTTTACATGTAAGAGATACTACTACTCTTTCACTTAAAAAAGCAATTGATGTTTTATTTTCAAAACATGGTTTGAGCATATCACAAATCTGTGGTCAAGGTTATGATGGTGCTAGTAACATGCGAGGTGAATATAATGGTTTAAAAACTTTGATCATGAAGGAAAATGGTTCTGCATATTATATTCATTGGTTTGCACATCAGCTGCAATTGTCATTTGTAGGGGTTGCAAAGAAACATGTCCAAGTCTCTTCTATGTATAATACATTGTCTACCTTAGTGCATGTTCTTGAAGGTTCATCTAAAAGACAAGAAATTCTTAGAGAACAACGCCTTAAGAAAGTCGTTGATGATCTAATGACTGGAGATCTTGTGAGTGGTCGGGGTTTAAATCAAGAAACTAGCCTTCAAAGAGCTTGTGATACATGTTGGGGTTCATTTTGGCTCGTTGTTAAAGTTGGTTCTTATGTATGATTCTGTAATAGATGTTCTTTTGATAATTGAAAATGATGGTCTGGTGGAGCAAAGAGGTCAAGCATATGCACTTATTAATTCTTTGCAATATTTTGAATTTGCATTTATTTTACACTTGATGAAGAAAATCATGGGAATAACGAATGCACTATCTGAAGCATTACAAAGGAAGGATCAAGATATTGTGAATGCTATGGGTCTGGTCAAAGTTTCCAAGCAACAATTACAAGCTACTAGGGAAGATTGATGGGATTTTTTACTTGATGAAGTTTGTTTGTTTTGTGAAAACATGAGATTATCATTCCGAAAATGGATGAAATGTTCATTACTAGTGGGAGATCTCGAAGAAAAGTTCAGCAAATTACAAACCTTCACCACTATTGAGTTGAACTATTTTGTGCTGTGATAGATTTACAACTCCAAGAACTCAACAATCGTTTCAATGAAATCAATATGGAGTTGCTTCTTTGTATGGCAAGCTTGAGCCCAAGTGATTCCTTTGCAGCATTTGATAAGAAAAAGTTGATTCATCTTGCTGAACATTATCCTTGTGAGTTTTCTAAGTTGGATATTCTTGCACTTGACACTGAATTGGATACTCATATTAATGACTTGAAATCAGCTAAGGAATTTCTCGATTTAAGAAAAATCTCTGATCTAACTCAAAGGTTGGTGGAAACTAAGAGAGATATTGTGTATCCATTGGCTTATACGCTCTTAAAGTTGGCTTTGATTTTGCCTGTTGCTACAACTATAGTAGAAAGGGCTTTTTCAGCTATGAATATAGTGAAGAATCGGTTACGAAATAGAATGGGAGACACTTGGATGAATGATTGTTTAGTTACATATATTGAGAAAAATATACTTCGTGAAGTTGAAAATGAGAAAGTTGTAAACCATTGTCAAAATATGAAAACTCGTCGTGAACAATTGTAAATAGTTTAGTTTGTTTTTGAAATAAAATTATTATTACATTAATAATTTTGAGTTTGTCTTTTTATGTTTTTCATGGAATATACATATCATTTGTACTTGTTGGTGAATTTATATATATTTTTTTGCTTAAAAAATTAGAAAAAGAGTAGATAAAAAATTTTAGTGTTATTTTTGCTCTCACTAAAATTTTTTTCTATCTCCGCCACTGCGGGGAAGGGGGGTTGAGGTGAAAACCTGAAAAAAGAAGATTTTGGCTATTCAAGAACAAGAGTTGTAAGCAGATTTATACCATTGGTAGGAGATGTATGCACACCATTTTCCACAAGGCTCCGTGTTAATGGACCAGGATTCATGAAAGATATAGTTCGAATCTCATAACGAATGGCTTCCAGTTGGGAAATAGTGTCTTGTAATTCTTTATGCACCTATAAAACACAAACTTAGTACAGCTCATCTACAAACATCATTGAAAGACAAAGTGCACTTTACATTTCAATTGTCTAGCTAGTGAATCTCAGTCAACAACCATGCCATACATGTGCTTTCTATACAAACAGACACAAACATACAGAGACATATATCTATGGGCATGTGTGTGTGTAGAGAGAGAGAGAGAGAGAGACCTAACGAGCCTGAGATTGCTGCATAACACTATCGAATTGGCCACGAGCCACTTGGACATATCCAATTGCCCTTCCAGCTAACCTCCCCGTGGTTCTTGCAATTATTGGCAAATCCTTTGGGCCTGAACTACAACTATGAACGTCAACACATAAACCTCAATTCAACGTTGACTCTATTACATGTGCACATATGCCAGAGCAAGAGACAGAAAGTATCATTTCCAAAGGATCATCCTTGGAGCCACCCAAGCAAAAACGGAAAAACTGCAAAACACAACACACTTTGTCGTGATAGCAAACAATACAACTTACTACATTGTTTCATCGCATTTAGAATCTACATCAATTATACGTAGGTAATCATCCAAAGAGATGCAAAGATCGAAATCTATACAAGGAGGAATAGCCAATAGCGTACCAATTAGCGCAGCAATAGCTCCAATTATGAGAAACAGCTCCCCATAAAAAATCCCAAGCATCACTCTTTGCTTTTGTTCCCCATCCTCCTAGGCACTTGTACTTGAGCAAAGTGCATGACAGGGCTAAATTAGTGTTACTTTATGAAACTTTGGCTCAAAGATAAAACTATAAGGTGTTGAAAAAATGTACTAATAGACACCTTTTGTTGTCTTCTTTATTCAATGACAATAAATTGCACATTGTATTCAAGAAACAATCAATTAAAATCCCAAATTGCAACCACTAACACCAGAATATTTATCGTTTTGCTTTCTCTCTAACACCGCCTCCTCACGCGTGATGCACACAAACACAATTTCACACACTAACACACACACACAAAAAGCACCAAATTTCATGCCAATTATTTATAGCATAAGGATTATGAGAATAAAAAATTCTATTGTCATTATTTAGTTAAATTTTTACTTTAGTATCACCAAATGATACGATTAAACGGATTATATTCTTCTCCTTTTTTTAACTCTCTCTCTCTTTAACTCTCTTTACAAATTGTTTTTAACTTTACAACTGCATTGTACCTTCTTAAAGTGTAAAAATACGAAAAATTAAAGAAAAATAGGCTAAAAAGCATGTATGATGTTTATCATGTGTGAGTTGAAACACAGCACTATGTTGGTTTCAATAACTCCTAAATATGGTAATGTAAAAAATCCTTGCCTTGATCATTTTAGATATAGCAGTCCAAAATGGTCTTGCTTAAGAATAACTATAGTCACTTCAAAACAAAAAAATAATTTAAAAAGTAATTAAAAATTATGAAATGCCTATATAATTGAAAATTATGACGTGCCTATGGTCCAAACGATATACACAAATGTGAGAACAGCTAAAAACAAGGAAGTTTGTTATTTTTTACTTTATTTTTTGACTTACTTAAGCAATATATGCAAACGTGAAAATAGTTAATAATAAAAAATAAATAATTTTTACTTTGTTTCTGCTCATAAACTTGGGTATCTTATAAAATATCATTTTGCTTGAAAGAAATAAGTAGTTCACTATTCTAAATCGCCAACATGCCTAGTCACCACAACTTACTTTCTTTAATTATTAAAAATTAGCTTTAAATTATTTACGTTCTCTCTTTTTATAATTTATGCCAAACTTTTAATAGAATGCTTATTGAGCTGAAAAGACTTTTATAGGTTGAAAGGTAGAAAAAAATTTCTAGCTACTACTTGTTCAATACGTAGATCAAATAATTTTCACCATGCATTTAGAATAGACTTTAGTGGGAGTTTATCACTATGTAATGCTTGCATTATTCTCTTCAAACACCAACCAAATGGCAACAATGGAAAAGGAAAGAAAAAAAGAAAAAAAGTGAATCAACGTAAATGCAGGAAAGGAAATAACAACATACAAAAATGGTAAATATGAAAAAAAGCAGTGAAGCAGCTGATTTTAGAGGGCAAAGAAAAGCTGAGTTCCACAAACAAATTTGATCTTACTCCATATGCCTATATCCCCTCAATGGGCAAATCACTGGCTCACTCCTCGCTCCACTCTTTTCCCTCATCATCTTCTTCAACTTCATCATCTTTTTTATGTCCCATAACTGTATGCTCTTCTCTTCACACTCAATTGCTTACAAACTCAGAAATCTCAATTCTTTTCTCAGTTTCCTCTTGTTCTTCCAAGCTCCAATTCATTCAACAACACTCCACTGCCACAACTACAACACTAAAGCATCCAATTTTGCTCTTCACTGCCCTTGATACGCCCCCTGTTGACGCCCAATCCTTTCTTGCCACTGTTAGTGTCTTGGCTGCCACTGCTCTCTCCCTATTTCTTGGCCTCAAGGTTGCCTTTTTGTTGAATAAATTTGTTATCTTTTTGTGGTTTCTGCTTGATTGGGCTTCATATGCTTATTGGGCAAGGGTCGTTCTTTTTTTTTTTTTAACGCTAAATATTCTTCAGGCTTTAGGATTATCTAGTGCAGCTTGAAATTATAAGCATACAGTTTTTATTTCTTTTGCTAAAAAGCTATTATTTTTGTGGTTTTGTATATGCAGGGGGATCCTGTTCCTTGTGACAAGTGTGCTGGAAATGGTAATCTCTTTTTCTCGGAACGAAATTATTTATACATTATTATGCACGCATTTAGTCTACATAATCAACTTGTATTTAGATTGCAAGTGCATTTTTATGTGTAATTTTACATTATTGTATTAAAACTGGCATTTTCATTTATATGCACAAAAAATCTAATGCAGATTGGCAGGAAATTTTATAAATCTAGTTAAGTCAAAAGTTAAGTTTCTAGACATGCTCTCTCTCTATCTCTCTCTTTCTCTGACGTCTCATTTGATGTTCCCACAAAGGTGAAAGTTTTTTTTTTTCTGGTCGAGCAATACTGATGATCACTATAGATTTTGGTTGGCATGTTTTGTGTGTTTGGCTATGAAAAGTGGAAATCAAGCACCTCAACGTCAAAATAGAAGTGACTCTTTTGCTTTCTGATTAGAAAAGGACAAAAGAAAGAGAAGAAGAAAATAGGGTGGTAGAATTCTTCAGGAATCTTTTTAACCAGATGTGATTTAAAGGTTTATCGCCTAGAGTTCTACTTTTTCCATAATATGAAAAGTCTATGTCCAATGAGAAGAAGTCTCCTAAGTCTGTTAAAGAAACAGTGAAATTGAAAATAAACTTCCCAAGTGCAGATTGTGGAATATTAATCTGGTATTACTTCGTTCAAAAATGTGTCTGTATTAATTAGATATATGCTTTTAGAACAGTGTCAAAATGAGCATCTTTAAGTTGAGGAATTGACGTACAATTGATTCACGAATTTCCAACTGATACCATATTGGAAAATTTAGCTATTTAGCTCTAAGACTGTATGAATGATTACATTCCAATTTACAAAATTCATAGGAATTCGTTTGGTACATAAAGAAGACTATGTTTCTCTCTTTCTTGGATGGTGCTTAGCTTCAATTGACTCAACAGATTATTGCCTGAGCTGCTGCTTTGGCAAAAATAGACTGATAGAGGCACCATGTGGAATCAAAGTGACAACCCAACATTGCAAGGCTTCAGAAACTAATTTCCAAGGGTGAGGAATGGGTAGGATGGTGTAAGATGAAGGTCAAGAATGAAGATCATACTTTGTCCCTTGTTAGTACCAAAATCCTTGAGATGGTATTTAAAGTCGTACCTACCTTGACCTTTCAAATTGCTAATTGAACAGGATTTAAGTAACTCTTTTTCACCTTTTCTTAAGCATTAGCAAAATGAAAATAAAGCTGCTACAATTCGATTTGGGAGTTTTTAAGTCAATTTACTAGTTTAATATCCTCTATGATGTTCGTTTGCATGAGTTATACTGGATTGCTGTTTGATTACTTGCTTTTGAGTGATTGACAAAATACCACTTGGTTTCTTTTTGGGCAATTTTAGGTTCTCCAAATAATATGTTATGTACTTGGCTCTAAGGATAAAGGATTAAGTTCTGGAGCATATTTTGTTGTCAAAACGGCCACAACAATGTTAACACTATTGCTTGAGTCGTGCGTAGCACTGTTCAAAGAAACTATTTCATGAAATTGAAATGTCTCCCTAGGATTAAACAAGCCTTCTTCTATTTGTTGCGAACAAGAAAGACAAACTTTCTTCTTATTGCAAACTAGAAGGACCAGAACTAGCAAATTAAACCAGCAGATATAGAGAGAGAAGATGAGAACAGAATTGTCAGGAAGGTATCAACTGACAGAAATAAAAGAGAGAGAGAGAGAGAGTCAGAGCAACTATCAGAAAGGTATAACTGAAGCTGCTAGGGCAAGTTTCTGAGGGAATGGATGCTATTTATAGATTTTAGAATGAGGTGCAACCTTTCTCACTTCCAATGTGGGACAAAAATTGCAATTCTTCTCACCTCCCGATATGGGACAG